CCCCATGTGGGATAGGGTCTTCAAGACCCAGGAAGGAAGGAAGGGCCAGGAGAGAAGCTGAGCAGTGGAGGACTGTCCAGAGCCAGGCCTGGGGCCTGGGGTCAGCGTGGGCATGAGGGAAGATGCGTCCCTCCCAGGCAGCCTGTACAGACCCCTCAGGCCCTGCGCCAGCAGTCAGACCCGAAGCTGAGTGTGCCGCTTGCTGGTCCCCAAACACCGGTCCAGAGACAGGGAGGCTCCCCACCCCTGTGGCCACTTCCCAAATGACCCCCCGTTCCTTCAGCTTCAGACACCGCAGTGTCGCAGTCGGTCACCAGCGGGGAGGTGTGAGTCTGATGGCCACCTTCCCCTGGGTCTGAACTATCACTGTCCCAGAGAAATCCGGTTCAGTCCCACTGGGAGCCCCCGCCTACCCCCAAGGAGTACCCACCCTCAGTCGTGACCTTGGGCCCCAAGCTGGCAAGACTGGTGCCCAGCGGGAGCTCTGCTGATGGGGGGACAGCATTCCGAGTGTCATACACACAGCTGCACTCACAGGTACCCGCTGTACCAGCTGGGCGGCCCCCAGCTCCGTGTATTCCGGACCAACTTCTTCATCCAGCTGGTGCGGCCCGGCAGGCCCCAGCCTGAGGATACAGTGCAGTTCCGAATCCCCATGGAGTAAGTATCTGTGTGTGTGTGTGTGTGTGTGTGTGTGTGTGTAGTGCAAGTCACTGGGTGGGTTCCCCAGGAGGGAGCTGGGAGCAGCCTGCTCAGCAGACCCAACTAGGTATGGCCTCAGAGCACCCTCTTGGGCACTCCCATAGAACCAGCAAAGCAGTAGCATCTTCTGGAACCTTCCAGCCACTTCTCTCTCACACAGCATCCTGGTCAGCTTCCGGGGAACCTGTCCTTCCAATGGACATGCCAGGCTCCAGTCTACATCCTCAGCTGTCCACCTGGGCCAGCAGTGCAGGGCCGCAGGGAACCCCAGCCTCCTCCGGGGAGGGGTGCTGTGGCATCGCCTGCAGAAGAGGGCCCAGGCCTTGTGTCCACCTAGGACCAGAACCGTTGAGGCCCAAGATTTAGTGAGGGCTGGGGGCGTGGTGGGTCGCTAACCGCGATGTTAAACACCACCCGCCACTCTTATGAGAAAAAGACCGGCGGTCTCCTCCTGTACAGAGCTCTTCTGGGAAGCCCACAGGGGCAGGTCTACCCCGTCCTACAGGGTCTATCTTGAGTCAGCATGGATTCAATGCTGTGTGTTTGGATTTGGGGCGCCAATGAGCAGGGACATGGGGAAGGGCCTGGTCTGGAGGGTCACTCGTCTTTCCAGGTGCCCTGAGACTCACGGGGTCCAGCCGGAGATGATGGGGGTGGGGTGCTGTGTGGTCCCAGTGACCTTGGCAGAGATGGGGAGGTGATCAGGCCCCTCTCTCCTCAGGATGACCAGGTTGGACCTTAGGAACTACCTGCAGAGCATCTACGGGGTGCCCGTGGCGGCCGTGCGGACGAGGGTACAGCACGGTAAGTGCACATCCGCCTGCCTGCCTTCCTGTACAGCACACACACGGCCCCACACGGCCTTGACACTTCGTACAGCCCCTGCAAGGCCCCACACAGCCCCCCAACAGACCCACAGACCCCTGGTGCCCGCACACCCAGTGCCCTGCTGCTGTGTCAACTTTGCCCCCTCACTCCCGAGTGCTGCTCTGCCCTCGGGAAGCACCCCATGTCCCTCGCCCCTGGGAGCCTGCAGTTTCTCACACAGCCCCTGGTCCTCTACAACCCCCACGGCCCCCAGCCCTCACAGCCCTCCCCCCTGCACGGCCCCCACAGCCCGACATCCTCCTCAGCCTACAGCCCTGGCAGGCAGCCAGCCCCCGGCCTCACGGTGGAGGAGGTGGGGGCCCGCCCGCCCAGCGGCTGAGTCCTGTGCCCCTTCCCAGGCTGGGGCCCTGGCTCCCCTAGGAGCAGGCTCCTGGTGACCGAGCACCTCACATCCCTGCCCCGGTGTCCTTGGGG